TTCTTTAAATTCGGCCCAGCAGATTTGTGAATAGCTCCGTCAACTAGAGAATACATTTCATACCCTTTAATATGTTGCACGTGTTCCTAGAAAACGTTCGTTCCTATGTACCTCCGCCACCGCCGAGAAGACTCGAATTCGCGGCATTCACGATCGCGTCGATCTCGAGAGACGTGATGTCACCTTGCCATATTGAAATCTTTTTAGCCAGCTCCTCGTCCACTTTTTCCACTTTCTCTAGGTTCAACAGACCGATGTGCGTTTTATTCTTACTCCAGTATTCCGCCCATGTCGGGAGTTGATCCAACGTGGTTATACTTCCTTTGTAGAACTTTCGTTTCTCTTCTAACGGCATGGTCAAGAATTTCTCTGTCGAACCACGTCGAGTATTTTGAAAGGCTAACGCTACTTACAAGTGCACACACCGAAATTCCACCGTATCGAACAACCGAGACAGTCAACGTTTTACTCGTTAATAGCGAAATAAAGAAAAAGGATCGTCTTACGTTTCTCAACTTCGAACGACATCTTCGCTTGGAGATGGACCGTTGCGGCAAATTTCTTTCCAACCGAACAATTCTGAAGGATCGGTCGTAGTACGTTGGTAACAGCGAAACGATCGGGCAGACTCGCCTGGAAATTAGAAATAATTCTCCTCTGACTACGCAGTTCACTTGGCCCTTGGTAACCCCTCCGCCCTTACTCTGAGAGCCAGCATAGTCTTCCACTTGAAAAAAACGTCAACGACCTTTGTCAGTCATCGATTTCTACCTTCTCGAACCAAGGGTACAATCGAAATTCGATTTTTCTCGCGTTCGCGACAAACACGAGCCTACTCACGGCCAAATCTCTGCTCGACGCGTTGTTTTGTTTCTGCTGCCTTTCAGCTGCGCTCGTGACCGGTGAAGAGGTAGAAACGGATCCGCGTTGCCGTAACTGGACGCGTACGCGGACATCTGCTGGATAACCGTACAAATGCTCGTGTATTTTTACCATGCAAACGCGCCATCTACCGCAGCTATCGTGTACCGCGTTCAAATTCGAGCGTAGAATAGAATTATTCCATTTCCACTATTCGTTGTACAATATTGGAAACGGAACGCGGTTCATTTCTCCTTTCCCCCGTAATGTAGAAAATGCACGAAATTTATCAAGCGTGGGAGTACGTTGTAGTAGGCGTAATCGTGTCGTGGTCGGCTATCGTCCAACAATGGTAAAACGTAGAAAGGACGAATATTAATCGTCCTGGGTGAAATGCCATGCCCTTTCTGGCAATTTTAATTAACGGAAGTAGGTGCTCCTTTCGCTAGCTATTTACGTCCGCACGAGGGAATCTCGTAACAAGCTTACATTTTCTTCCCCTATGGAACGATGTAACGGGTCATATCGTCACCCATGTCCTTTGCCTTCTGCAGGGGTGGCTAAGTGTCCATTCTACGAAACGGTTTCATCGTCGTTTGCTGAAAGTTGAGGGATAAACGCCGAGGGGGGCGCCGAGGGGGGCGCCAACGCGAACGCGGACGCCGACGCGAACGCCGACGCGAACGCCGACGCCACCTCAAAGAGAAACACCGAACGAACTTTCTCCCTATCCCTTTCCACGTCTACGCATGCTGAAAGCTTCTACTATCGATCCACCTGCGCCCGAGCTTTCTCATTCGCTTCACAACCTTCGCGAACGTCGTCTAGGTGAAATCTCGTTAGCCGTTGCGAGCACAGCCGGAGGCAGAAAGAATGGCCCGCCGCATGGATCACACCAAGGCGATCTTCGTATTTTGTGAGTTTTCTCCTTATTCGAAACCGATCACTACCGATTAACCGATTAACTGTCTCCTCGGCTTCGCGGTCCGAGTGGAATCTGGAAATTTTCGGGATTGCGATACGATAGCGTAACGATACGGCGACCTCGTCGAACAAACCGATCTAACCAAATATCTGCACCGCCACCAAACCGCTCGCGTGACGTATCAAAGTTGTTGGTTGTTCGGGGCGTTTTCCGGCAAGTCAACCACCCCGAATCTTTCATCGATGCGCGCATCCCTCTGGCGGATACCCACCAACAACTTACCGAAATATGTACAACGATCCTCCAACGAACGGTTTTCTCCGCAGGGTGTGTCTTGAGCACGGCCTACCTAGCGTACAGCGTGCCTAGCTCCTCGCCCTCGCCCTCGCCGCCAAAGTTGCAGGAGGAGCAGCCCTACACCACGCGTCGAACGCCCAAGGTTGTCATTGACTTGCCCGTATCCAAGTCTAGACTACCCCTGGTAAGAACAATTCTCTCAGGGTCGAGATAACACGTTCCGCGTCGCAAAGTATCGAATGGTCCACTTTAACGTCGACATGTTTCAAAGCCGGCGGTAAACTTCGAGTTGAAGAGTACAACGACAATGACCTCGGAACCCACGTCGACGACCACGCACAGATCCTTCTCTACCGAACAGCCTCTGTATCGTTTGGACGGCAGCAACGGACAAGCCTGTATTCTTCTGCAAGTAGACGCGCTGATCGTGGTGAAATATCGAACGAAATTCGGCGAAGATCAAGTAAGATATAGGAAGCGAAATGTAAAAGGAAAGGCGAATCTTTCGAAATCTTTCGAAATCTTTCGGATTTTCTTCAGGAGGCGAACATTTACGTTCCGAACGACGCTACGGTGACCGGGAACTGCAACAACGAGAACACAGTGACGATGTCTCTCAAGTGGAAGGCGTTTGTACTTTCGTGGAGCTTCGCAAAGGTAACGCCGCCAATTAGACACGCTACTATCTCCGTTCGTTCGATCGACCAAACGAAAAATACGTTTTCCAGACACCCGGTGGCGAGCGATGGTACGTCGAGAAGATCGAATTGACCTACAACTCGAGCGATCGACACTTCGAGCACATCGATCAACCGAGTAAGTCCACTTGGACGCGTAGCAATCGACGCGGTAACTAAAAAAATCTTTCTCCTTCAAGACAAGACAATTCGATTGAGCACCGGACAGAAGCACAGCCCCATGTTGTTCCCAACGCCGGTTGGGAAATCGTACGCCTGCGACGAAGAGACGCAAATTCCCCTCACCGATGGCAAGAACAACGCCATCCTGCTCCTCAGGTATGTACACGTATCGTATATCGCGAATCGAGATCCCCCGACAACTGTGCGTTTTCTCGCAGAGACATGAAGCTGCAGCCGTTCAAGTTCAAGAACAACGAATTCGCGGCGGAATTCTCCTGTACGTCGTTGAGTGCACGCGGATTTCGGGACGAAACCGCGCCCGTCGCAGTTGGTTCGACGTTGGCTGCTGCCGTTCTCCTCACTATCACCGGCTACGCGGTCTATCGCTCTTTCGTACTGAAGAAAGTCAAGTACGACACTATGGAGTAAGGAATCCCTGGAAACACGCTGCCGAGGACGATGCCGAAGGTAGCGCGCGACAACCCTCGCCGAGAACGACCAATCTTTTCTACGAGATTCTCCGTCTCCGTGGTGGTCGTCGTTGTCGCTGCCGCCGCCGTCGCCGCCATCTCTTACCCGACCCATAAACCACCGCCACCGACAGCTTTCGCGTGGCGAACTTTTTAATATTCATTAGCTACGGAGCTAGGTTGATCCGAGGGCGAGGCAGTCGTCCATCTTGGAAGTTGTATCGATCGCGAAACGATGCGTAGGCGCGACACGTCTCGATCGTCGACTAAAACGTTTCTACGTAGACTTTTTATCGACAGACGATAGAGTAATCGCAGTCGACATCTCCTCCCTTTTATTCGCTAGTTTTCAAATAACCGAAGAGTAGAGAGAGAGAGAGAGAGAGAGAGAGAGCGTCGGTGGTGTCCTCGGAGAAAGGAGGAAGGAGAAAAAGCCCTGTCAGGCAGCTGAGTGCGATTGTTTCTTCCGTTTTAAAACTGTATATACCGTTCGACGATTTAATCGAGTCACGTGAATGTTGCGTTGTCGTAAACGTGTCACGTAGGTAACAAGACTATTCTTCGTATTTATCGTATAACGTTTGATCGCTTTGTTACTTTGAAAGAGCCGAAACGCGGGAAGGCGGTGTAATTTTCAAACGGTGATTCGTGGTTTCGTGCCTACTTTTTACATATGCAAACGATCGCTAGAATTAGGTCGTTTCACTTTTATCTTCTGATTCTCGATGTAACATATCGTGTAAATACGTTAGAACGTTCGGCGAAACTCGCGCGAAAAGAATAGCTTGTATCGATAAGGTTCTACCCCCGAGCTTCGACGATCGCGACAACTTTAACGTCACGAGCATTCCTCGTTATTTTATTCTTACTATTATCGTTATTATTACTACATAGTATGCGAATAGTCCATTTCGACGATGTGTTAACGTACCAACTCATCCCTGGAATGGTCCGGTGTAATCAGAGAGAAAGGAACGTCTCGTCTCGGTTAACGAGTAACAGCGTACCTAAACGGTCCGCGTGTACAACAATTACAATTAAGGATATGTGCATAACACGAACCTCTGTCTTCCAAGCGCATATTAAAGTTGAACTTTCGTGTGTAAATACACATATACACATTCGTACATATGTGTACATTTATATACATATATATATATATATATACACACACGTGTTGCACTTACGCATATCCATTATACATACAAGTATATACATACACATATACATATACATACATACATACATACATATACATATAAATATATATATGTATGATATTTAGAGAGCGAGGTAGCTGGAGAGGGGGAAATATTATGGATATCGCATAACGCGTTTCCGCAACAAAGTCGATTCGCGAGATTGCGTCGCGTCGGCAGAATACACGCTACATATTCGAGGAATTCGGAAGGCGTGTGTGCGTGCCGGCGGATCGAGTCTCTCCGCGAGAGGATATGCGTTTCGAATTTTCCAAGATACAATAATTGCGAGTGGCCGGTATTAGGTGTTACCGCGAAAGATGGTCTAGATGTAATAACGAAAATGTATTTTTGTGCTAAAGTCAATCTTACTACTTATAGACGGTATATTAATAGGAGGTAGAGGTCGGATCGAAGGAAGTGCACAGCCCCGACGCCCGTGACTTTCAAACTTTTCCGTTGTAACGCGATTCAACAGGCGCGCGTCAACACCGGCGTCAGCGAAAAAGTAACGATCGGCGGAAGATGAAAAGGTGAGACGGGAGGATACGGCGGTGGAATAAAAGTTTCGAGCTGAACGAAATCAAACGATTGTAACGCGCGACGCGCCAACAAAATTGTATCATATCGATAAAATAAAGGCTGTTATACAAGTTCTCGTTCGTTGCGTAATCGTTTTGTCCCGAAACCATCTCCGTTTTTGTGGAGATGCGGCCCAATTAGGCTGCGCAAGGTAACTGGGGGGGGACGCGATATTCTCGGAGTAATAGCAGATGCGTGTCGGAAGGGCGACAGGCGACGTAATAATTTGGAATGGAGGTGGCTCGTGGAGTAGGGCGTGAAAAGTACAGTCAAGCAAAGCAGGCTTACGGTAAAGCTCCGAGGAACGGAACGGAACGAGCCTAACCTAACCTAACCTAACCTAACCTAACCGAATCTAACCGAACGGAACCCTCGAGGCTTTGCGCAACGCGCGAGGCGCGAGGCACAGTTGTCCATTGAAATCACCGCGACAATGGCTGCGATGTAGCCAGATCGTCGCATTGTGTATCCCTGGTTCGTCCAACTAGCCTTACTACCGAGAGTCGAGAGGATCCGGACGGACGAGTAACAACGTCGAGATAGCAGTGATCAGGATGTAAAAGGGGTGGTTGGTAAGATAATTGAGCGTAATTGGGTGTACGTTTGATGACAGATGTAATCCTGGCGGGGGGTGCTCCAGGCAGAGACGGACGAACCAAGTAAGGGTGGGGGAACGGTCTATAATTTATAAACTAGGGGCTGTTTTGGGGTAATTGCAGATAACGATGGGGCGGTCCGGATAACAAGCCGACATGGGAGTCACTGGACACCGTGCCACTCCACCATCCACCGGTAACACCATAACCTTCGTTATATACGGCTATTCTCTGTATCGCTTGCATCGCTGCCCACCCATAAGTTACGTGACGCGTGACACCGCGCCCGAGGGTTCTCCCTTAATAATAAATCGCGGCCTCTCCGATTCTAACGCTCGCGAATAGAGCATCCCCGGTTTTCATCTCAAACCGCCTACTTCACACCTCGTTCGGCGAGGAAACGCATCGGCCCTGTACGCCCTGTACAATAGCACACCGGGAATCCATTTAGTTCGGACAAAAGCTGCTCGAGGTACCTGGGCTCTTCTATTCCTCCGCTTGAACGGGGACAAATCGCAACTCGTATTTTGACAAGCTCGTCGTGGTTGTCCAATGTTTGCAGTTTAGCGGTTAGCGAGAGACGCTTCCTGGAGGCGCTATAAATACAACTCCCGGAGGTATGACGCGATAATTACTCGATTCCCACAGCGTAGCGGGTAGCCTGGTCAACTGGACGGCGATAAGCCGATAAAGGAACGGCACGGCCTTGAGGTGTCTGCACGATCAGCGCGAAGAATCGTCGTAACAGCGTTTCGTTTTCGTCCCTAACACACGTCACCTCTCTGGTCGTGTCGCGTATCGCCGGCCGAAAAACTAGCGCGAGAGAAAGATAGGGCGTAACCTCTAATTAAATAAATCTCGGTTGCGGTATGGACAATTTGATCGTTTGAAAGCCAGCCCCTGACAGGCGCGGAAAATGTCGTAGGGTTGGCGACACGCCGGTCCATCGCCTACGTACGTACGTACGTACGTACGTACACACGTAAGTGTAATATTATATACCATACTATCCTGCCCCTATTGGGGTGCTCCGACCTAACGGATACAACGATGTAACGCGAAGCCTACCAAACTTCCCCCTCGTTTCGCATTTTTTACCATCCGGCGTCCAGCCGTACGGAACATCCGAGGATAAGGATCGTCCTCGTGCGAAAATGTTCGCGACTGAATTGCTGGCCATTTTGGAAAAAGGAGGGAATCACCGGTTCGTCCGGTCTGATTCGATCGACTATCGAATGGTAAATAGATACACATGTGTTCGGTGCGAGTGTTGTGTACGAGTACCGTACGTAGCCGCCGAGCCGTTCACGAGGGTGCGAGGACGGAGCAAGAGGGTGGGAGAAAGTTTATCGGATTGGAAAGAGGACGAAGAGAAAGGTAGAGGGGAGGTTAGGGGGGAAGACAGGAACGTGGCGTGAATGGGAGGGAGTTCATAATAACATCGAGGGGGCAACAGGGTTCTCTGTGTTCAGATGCTCTTTTCAAGAGTGAAAACCCTCCTCGACGCGCATTCAAGTGTCGCGCCGCTTTGTAATACCTCTTAATACCACTCGCTGTCGTCGTTATTAAGGATCCGGAACATATTGTCGACATAACAGTGGCAATACGTCTATGGCGTCAAGCCTTTATTGTTGGGCGAGCGCGAGCGCGAGCGCGAGCGAGACCGCGACCGCGACCGCGCTCTCCGCGACAGGAAGCGGAAGGGATGGGAGAATTTTTCCCAAAAATTTGCGAAACCTATCGAAACGACCAGCGGCGGAAATAACCGGTGTGAGAACGAACGCGACGATGCAACAGCGTACTTTACCTGCAGATAAATCCTGCCAGTCAGCGTAAGACGATTCCGGCTAGAGACCTGCGTCGTCCACCTTTTTTTCCCACAAAACTCACCTGACACAAGCCTCGCAGATAAGAGGACGTCGAATGTGCGAGGTTTCTCCGTGCAAGCGACACGTGCTGGTTAATCCAAGTTTACCTATCTACTTTCTCAACCCTCGGCCGTTTCGTCCAACGAAATCACCAGTCGCGCGGCCTTCTCGCTGCAAATCTCCGACGATCTCTGCTTTTTATCGGAGGCGCAAGTTCTTTCGTTTCGTCTGTTGGACCCCTTTTAATCCGGGGACTACTTATCGTGCTCGGCGGACACGTTTAGCCGATACGCGTCGTAGCAGGGAGGATGATGACAGTCCACCGTTTCAACTACCCTCAAATCACCGAGCGCGCCTAACTAACCGTGTAATCGACAATTACGACATCCTACGCGCGCAACATTTTCCCTCTCTGATACAAATCGGACGCGTTTCGGTGTACTTGGCAGTGAAGCGGTAACAACAATTAACCAGAGGGAAGAAATTTCCAACGATGCAAGCATACCTGAGCTGGAGCATAAAGTGGCCAGTGACACATAAAGAGCATATTTTCTGGCATTAGGAGGGTCAGCTACCTGTGTTCACGCCTGTTCGCGTTTTCCAACCCGAACAATCTCCCGCGCCGATCTTTCTCGCACCGGCCCGTTAATGGGGAAATAACCGACGGATTACGTCGCCTAATCCTGTCGCTAACGCGATCTCATTGTCGCGGCAGGAACCTCCCGCCTTTTCTTTCCCTTCGATCTAGCGCGAGTTGGATTTTTCGGTAAGTCGAGACACGTTTTGCGTAACGAGGTTTCTTTCCCACGTATCACCGAGCGATCGCGATCGCGATCGCGATCGCGATCCGAGCTTTGTCACCTGCACGCAGGAGGAATGTCGGCTTCTAAAAATAAACCGATCGTCCGCGATTCTATTTAGCCGTCCGTTGTATGCACATGTATTTAGGTACGTAACGCGGTGGTGGTCGCGCGAAGATAGCTGCTATCTCGACGAGGCGGTGTCGGCCGGTGTCCGATGTCGGCCACCAACACACGACCGCCGGGGCTTTCGATCCCCGCGAGCCGAACGCGCCGCTTATTGTTCGCCGATATTCGTTTTAGAGATATAAACGCGCAAGTACCTACACCTACGTAGGTATCGTCCGCACGGAAATACGAGATCCACTTGCGACCGCGTTTCTGTCGCGTACGAGGCTCGATTGGACATCGGCCGTTCGATCGCAGGCCCGTCTCACCCAAACGCGAGAGAGAGAGAGAGAGAGACAGAAGGCAGTCCGGTTTACTTAATTTATCCGGATTCAGAGGCGGAGAAGATGCCAGCCCGTTTGCAGGTGAGGTTCGAGCGGGGCTGAACAAGGACAAACGGAGGATCGTCGTCGGGTCGATTTTGCACAGAACCATTTTGGAATGCAATTAAACGCAGTGCAACGAAATACGACGCCGTCGGTGCTACCGGTGACGCTCCGCTCCGTTCCGTTCCGCTTTGCTTCGCGCCGCGCCGTAACTTCCCTCCTTCTCCTCTTCTCACCCGGCGTTCCGTCGAGCCTTCGCACCCCTGTACCACTCGTCGAGTTAGGAATACCTTGGTTCGCCCAGGTACGGACCGACCAATTCGAAAGCCTTTCGTCCTTCCGACGAGAAAACTTCTCCGTCGTTCTCCGGCAGACGTGGCGCGAAAACCTCGATTGATAACGAATTCGTCGGATAATCCTGGAGGAGGAGGAGAAGGAGGAGGAGGAGGAGGAGGAAGACGACGACGACGAAGACGACGACGACGAAGACGACGACGTTCAACGATCGTCGACAGAGATCCAAAGAGTTTCTTGAAAAGCAAGGAAAGAAAAGAAAGGAAAAGAAAAGAAAAGAAAAGAAAAGAAAAGAAGAGAAAAGAAAAGGAAATGTGTGGTTGTACACGATTCCAGTAGATCCTAAGAGAAGGAAGAAACGAGCCTTGGCATCTTCTTCGCCGCCGTCGTAATCATTGCAGTTCCGTCGAGCTGTAAGGTGGATTATGAGCATCCACATCTCTCGACGACCATGCCTGGTAATCGCGAGAACACGATTTGATACTCGTTGTCAAAGTAGAGCATCGTGATCTCGGAGAGTTTCCTCGGGGCGCAACATGGACCAGAGTTCTTGGGAGGTTCCGCCAGGCTGACGATGTGAGTGTTGGGGTACGTTGGCAGAAAAGCCATGGGGCAGTCGCCCGAACAGTAATTGGCGTCGTACCTAACACACAAAACGATGGTGCGTTTACGATTACGCGTGGTCACCACCTAAGTTTTAATTTGATTTAGAATCGGAAGCAGGAAGTGGCAGTAGAGGTATTTGGAAGAATGTACCTAGGTGATAAGTAGCTAAAAAAGTCGAATATGAGAATGTAAAGTATAATAATTAGCAGAGAGCGGAGTACATACTTTTTCGGCGCGATTATCCAATCCCAGCCAAACTTCTCAAAGTCGACGGTGAGTTTGTATCGACAACACCTGGTCTCCTGGCTGGTTTCATCACAATTGAGTCCTACGTTTCTCTTGATCCTTGCGCCCCTTCTAGAATCGAGTTCTTGCGTCTGTACCTCGAGGTACGGCGCGTACTCGGCTCCGGGATTAGTCTCGACCAATTTCGAATTTTTGCAATGAGCGGCGAGACCGGCGGGACCGGCGGGACCGGAGACGTTTAGAGCTACTCCGAGATTGTCCCTAGGATGCTTAAACCATTCGGCAACCATTTTTGTCAACTCGATCGTTACCCAGTTACCCCTGCAGCCGACCGGTCGAGGATGTTTCGTGGTCAAAGATGGGCGTAACGACGGCCCTTCGGTCTCAGTGCCACCACGAAGAATCCTCTGCAACGTGATCGTCACCGGCCCCCCCCCTTCTTCCGGTTGATTGCTACCCCATATCCACAGGGATAATTCTGCCTTGGTCACGCGATGCTGAACCACCTTGTCGGAGAATTTGAAATAGAGAAAGTCGAGGCTGCCTTTCGAGTGCCGTATTCTCTGATCTGAAACGAAGGCGTAACGAGAAAAATCGGTTAAGTCGGTGAAACGTTGGAGAAACGGAGAGATAGAGGGAGAAGGGAGAGAGGAATCGATACCGAAGAAAATCCTCGGGTTCTGCGATTGGCGATAAATCAAGAACAACCGGTAACGTTGCCGCGGAGTTTCTTGCCGGTGGAGACGTACCGGGTTAGCTCGCGCGCGCCAACGTCCGACATTTACCTCGACCAAGAGGACTCGCGAGCAGCGGTCCAGTCGTAGCGATCGATGGTAGACGCGATTCGCCATCGACAGAGATCGATCGGCGAAGAAGAGAAGGGAGGAAAGAGGGAGCGGAAAAACGGTGAAACGAGTTGTTCGTACAGATGCGTGTAGCGTTAGTCCCGGCTCTATTCAGGCCATTGCACGCTCAGACCGCTTCCATGAAGGGGTAAAGCCACCTGAAATCGTACCGTTACGCGGACTACGTTTTTCGTTTGTCGATCAATCAGTAATCTCCTCTTTCCCGTATCGATACCGCCGTCGTCGTAGCCGTCGTCGCCGTAGTCGCCGTCGTCGTCGTAGCCGCCGCCGCCGCGACTTTGTCCTGCCTCGCCTTCGAAAGAAACAGGCTCGTCCTGGTATTCCCCGCTGGAACCCAACAACTCGATCGCACCGTCGCTTTGCCTAGATACATACCAACCGTCACCTTTTTTCTCCTCTTTTCCCCTTTCTTTCCCTCGCGAGCCCTGACGAAGAGATCGTTTCCCTGAGAGGCTGCTGCCACACGCGACGCTTGAGAGAAGGTTCGCTCTGAATTATTACAGCGACACGACGACAACGACGACGACGACGATCCGATGTGCACGGAGCGTCCGTTTGTTCGAATTCGAGCGTCGGTATATCGCCTTATCGTCCCGACTGTCACACGCCGCGCCGTACCTCTTATTTCCGGCGACGTTTCGAGATAATTATTTATCAGGAGCAGCTCTCCTTCCTCTCGCTCTTCCCCACGGCAACGGTCCGCTATGGAAGCGAGCGCGAGAGGACGGGGATGCTGGGCGGGCGGGGGAGGACACGCGGTGGAGAGAGGGAAAATGGCGGCACGGAGGAAATCGGACACCAAATCGAAGGAGACGCCATCGCAAAGCGCGGCACCGCCCCTCTGCGAGTGTCATCGTTCTACGCTAGCCAGCGCGTTTGCTCAAAATTCGAGCAAAATTCGTCTGCGTACGGCGTGTCTCTGAATATTCGAGTTATTCCTCTGGCAGCGGTTAGGTTAATTTTAATCGACCGTCGAGAAGAGAAGGGACCGCCAGAGGTTCTTCCTCCTCGACTACGTCTGAGAGATCTGGCGGACGCGTGACGGCAATTAGTCGGAAAAGGCGGAGCGGATTGAAAGGATTGGCAAGGCGTGGCAGACATCGAGATTTTCGTGGCACGTTCGTCTCTGCCAGACGAGGATCGGTTCTCATTGATCTACGTAACGCCGGTGGTCCGTCAGGCACCGGGCTATTTCCATCGACTTCCTGCCGACGCGACGCGACGCGACGCGACGCGACGTCTTGTCAGCGTGGACGATTTCATTCCGCGTTACGCTACCTTCTCGATTACACCGCAGACTAAACTCGAATATGTTCTCGAAACGCGTCGATTACCCTTGCGGAAAATAATTCGCGGGCCGGACGACAAGGGGAAAGGTAGAGCGAAGTAAGATCAGAAGTGTAGCTGGCGACAAACGAGACGAGGAGACAGCAGGGGAATTATTGCCGGTTGTTGTGAAATTAGTCGAACGCGAGGCGCGATAGCACCATGTAGAATCACAACACGGTGTACGGTAACGTTGTCACGTTCCGTTTCCGGTGTACGTTGCTCACCTCGTACGCTCTCGCACGGACTGCGCTCGAGTCGACGTCGTCTCGTTCGACCACACGCGACTTTCCACCGATTTTCACGCCGTGGATTCGGAAAGAGTCGGCGGGCTTGAAACGTTAGAAGGCGGATTATTTGGAATTTTCCGCGAGGAAAGTCCCCAGAGAGAAAGGATCGTGGTGTAAGTGTCGAAGGGGTAGAGAGACACGGAGAAAGAGAGATTCTCGGTGGATTCTCGAGGACATCCGCAGATGGGGCGAGGAGGGGACGTCGGGGTGAGGCGAGAGGAAACCGGTCGGTCTCCGTGGCCACCGAATAGGGTGGCTTTCGGCCTGGGGGTAGAAGTATGCGCCGCCCCCGTGTTCCTCCAATGGGGCGAGCTCGCGCGCTCCCCGGCGGCCAATCGCAGGGAGCGACCGAGCCGCGCTCCACTCCTCTACGCGCGAGAGCGCGTGAAGAAAGAAAAAAGGAGGCCGAGCAGAGGAGGAAGAGAGAGGGCGGCCTCCTCCACCGTCGGCGTCGGCGTCGGCATCGGCATCGGTATCGCTGCGGAATGAGCGCCAGTGCCACTGGCACCACTACCATCGTTCTTCAGTTACGGCAGAACCGCGGTGCCGCCGCGCGATTTTCATTTTTCTCGATAATATCCTCGAACCTCGATTTCCTCCGAGAGAAAAGTGTGCGTCGCGAAACGGTGGTAAACGAATCGTCAAGTGTTGGACCGATAAGAAAAAAAAGTGGCGAGGAATAAGTGGCATCCGACGACGCAGCCAGCAAGCAAGCAGGCAAGCAAGCAAGCAAGCAACGACTTATGAATGAAACGCGGCCGATCGAACCGAACAATCGTCCGAGCAGCAGCGGATGCTTACTTTCGTCATCGGTTATTCATCCGGCCGATTCGTAGACACGCGCCGCGAATCGTGTTTATTTTCCTTGATCGATAACGCGACAACTCTGAGAAGGAAAAGGTGCGACGGAGAAATGTGCCCCGTGTGAAGCAGAGATTCGACAGCGAGAATGCCCGACAGTTCGGACCAACTGTCGTCGCCGAACAGCGAGTGCAACAGTCAAATGGGCGGTATTCACCGAAACGCGTCCACCGGGCAATTCAACGATACCTCCATGTCGGGACTCGCTTTGACGCATCACTCTCACTCGCAAAATCTGACGCCAGCGTCGAACGGCAGCCCGCAGTACCCGCAAGAGTTGACCACTTGCAGCTCTGCGAACGCCTCGTCGAATGTCGGGAACATCGGTGGACTTGCTCTGGGTAACACGGGCAGTAACTTTACGCCCGAACAGATATCTTGCATGTGCGAGGCGTTGCTGCAGAGTCAGGATATCGAGAAGCTGACGAGGTAAGGCTGTTTTCCTTTTCCGCCAGTTTTCCAACAGTCCGTACCGCCGCGATCTCGTTTCTAAAAGGCACGTTTCGATGTCAGGTTTCTGTGGTCGTTGCCGCCTGGTGAATTGCTACGCGGAGGCGAGAGCGTCCTAACGGCGAGGGCGACGATCGCCTTCCACCGGGGCGCTTATCACGAGCTCTACTCGATCCTCGAGAGCCACCCGTTCTCGCCCCGTCGGCATTCGGACCTTCAGCAGATGTGGTTCAAGTCGCACTACCGCGAGGCGGAGAAAATCCGCGGTCGGCCGCTCGGTGCCGTGGACAAGTATCGGCTGCGGAAAAAGTACCCGTTGCCGAAGACGATCTGGGACGGCGAGGAGGTGGTCTACTGCTTCAAGGAGCGGTCGAGGAACGCGCTCAAGGAGTGCTACATGAAGAACAAGTATCCAGCCTCGGACGAGAAGAAGAATTTGGCGAAGAAGACCGGGTTGACGCTGACCCAGGTGTCCAATTGGTTCAAGAATCGCCGACAGAGAGATCGGACGCCGCAAACGAGAACGTAAGTCGGCCGATTCCTCTCGAGCAGCTTTCCTGCATGGAGGGCACGTGTGCCAACGGGGGGTCCCGACTTTTCCACCGAGCAACAAGTGTTTCGACATGTGTACAGGGGCACGCTGACCGCTTCGGAGAGCGGTAAATCATTCCCCGAACGAGCCGGCTCGCGGCGTCCTCGGCGTCCTCGGCGTCCTCGGCCTTTCCACCGAATCCAATTTCACGTTTCTCTTCTCCCCTTCCGTCTCGGAAAATCCCCGGTTCGATGAAAATTTCTACAAAGTTCCTGCAGCACCGGGGTACGGCAAACGTGCTCGTTCGAATTTCGTTGGAGCGCGGGCAGAGCGGGCACGGCCGCGGGAAAGAAAGGAAAGGGGCAACGAAGGGAGAGAGAGAGAGAGAGAGAGAGAGCGTTGTTGTTATGGCTACGACGAGGCTCGGTCACGGTCCGCGACGTTGCGCGTTCGACTTCGACCAGCTTCATATCGCGTTCGCCCAACGAAATAACCGCGACGCGTTCGTTTCGAGATCTACGAAGGGAAAGATTATTCTTCGCTACCGAAGGAGCCGAAGCTTCCAACTTCCTCCCCGGTCCACCCTAACCTCCTCCCCCGGCAAGGCCTGTACGAAAAGGAAACGCGACGCCCCATTACCGTTTTATGACGCAGCTTCGGTTACGTCTCTCGTTTCACCATTGAGCTGTTCGCACTACCAATAGTTTACTACATAAAGGCCACGACCGGCCCTCCGCCGCTGCCTCCATTTATCTCGATTCTCGCCGCGTCCTGCATATTTCGGGCCACCACCACCTGTACATCCCTGTACTCGCGAATCCCAAGGAAATCCACCGAGGTCCGTTTCCTAGCCTTGAGCCGCGACCGTAAAAATGCGCGGTCGGGGGGAGAGGTGGCTATGTAGAGCGAGGGGCGGAGCTGCACGCACATGGGCCACCGTGCGTGCACGTGCGTGTCGCTCGCGGTAACAGCAAAGATTAGGGGGGAGAAGAAGAAACGTTCGCGCGTGCAAAAGGACCGAAGGAACAATCGACCTTTTTCCACTCCGCCGGAGAAGATTCTCGGAATTTCAGCGCGCGTGACCCTCGTCCTTCCTAGGCCAAGGGTCATAGGTTTTTTCGGGCCGGTAAGACAACGAGGAAGCTAGCTCGCATGTGCCGAACCTTTCCGGGCGCGGACAGAGATTTATGGCGGCTCCCTTCCAACTGTGCACAATTCTCAAGCACACACGTGCGTTATCTCTACACCCCTCGTCTACCGTAACCGAACAACGAACGCACTTTCTTTCAGGGATATGTTGCCTCTGAATTGCCAAAACACCGGCAGCAACATGATCGGCGGCACGGTGAGCAACGGAGGAAGCATTCAATCGCTGCAGAGCATCGATTCCGACGGCTCCAATCTGGCCATGTCGCCCCTTTCGACCATGGGCATGTCACCCGTGGCCGTGAACCCGTGCAGCCCGATGGGCATAGGCCCCATGGCCCCCCGTCACCCGGGATACGCGGCACCGGTCGCTCCGTGCTCCCACAACGGCGGCCTCAGTCCCATGAACGACGTGAAGGCGCTCTGCTACGGCCGCGGTGTCTACGAAACCGGTAAGGTCCCTCCCCCAATTGGCCAATTGGTACCACAC